GGTGTAATAAAGATTTTAGATCGGGTAGGCTATAAAATAATAATAAAAATAAATATTTGTTAGTGCCTAAAGTACGAAATTAGATTAATTATCTAAAATGTTTGTTCGATATAATATAAAAATTAATCAAACGAAAAAATATACAAATAAATTAAAAAACYGTCATTAGGAATTTGTATTTTAAATAAGTACTGTCATAAACTGTAATATAAAATATTCATAATGACTTAAATAAGCCACACAATAAGTGTGAACATAGAAAATATTATTCTGAGCGTTTGGAATTAGACGACTACATTTTAACTTTTATAATTTTATTCTTCTTCTTCTACTTCAAAGACATTTAATATTATATGACGCACCTAAATATATAGGTATTAATGAATACCTACTTGCTATAATAACTAATGAGATAAAGCTAATAAAAATGTATATTCAAATAACTACTAGTTTATGGCGTTTAACTTTTAAACTTATTTCTAATATACTAACAATTAATTAAGATATAAATKTTTCTTCACTTAACACTTCACTTAAACCATATTAAACAAAAAATATTAGAAAATTAATTCTATGAATAATAATTTATATAATATACCTACTAAAATAAACGATAAACTAATAATTTTATAGGAAATTGGAAACTGATTTTAAATACGTCTAACCTTGACTTATTATTTTATTAATGTCTTAAAGTTTAAGCAGTACATCTAAACAGTCATGTCTACATATTATTAAATTATACTTAAATACAACAAAGTTATCGTTATTAAATATTAATTATTATCATTTACCATAAATAATAGGAATCATTTTTACAAAGATGTTTGTTTTTATTTTTAAATTAAGTTGAGTAAAAAAAAACTATCTTTGAAATAATACATGGAAGATTACATATGACAATGATTCTTAATAATAAATAATAATAATCATTTCATATTGTATTTTACGAATTGAAGAAATGATGAGTCAATAAGAAATCATTTATTATGTTTCAATGATACTACTTAAAACTAAACACTTGTACCTATAATTTTTTTTTTCTTACCTCTATATAATATTATAAAACTAAATATAATCTATTAGAGTGGAGCAGCAGTATAATTGTTAAACAATTTTGTATTTTTATTTCTAAAATACTTTCTCAATAATTATTGCCTATTTGAATCTTATTTAAATTTACGAATTTTGATTTTTTAGATATAAAATATATTAGTGTTCATTTGTTACCTATTTTAACATACACATTAAAACTCATATTTTAACACCATAATCCAGTGGCGTAGCTAGTGTGAAGGAGTAAAGGGGCCTATGATTTTCCCCTCGTTGACTGTATTGACTTATTGACTTATTTTAGCATATACCTACCTGTATCAAAAAATGATTTTAAAAAAGTTTTTTTTTCATTTATTAAATATTTCAAGATAATCTTTGTCAGGTATTATAGTTTTTTTTTTTTTTTTTACAAAAAAATTTAAATGAAGAAAAGTTGAATAGTTATTTCTTAAGTGAAATTTAACCCTCTTTCTAATACAAAAATTCTACCTACGCTACTGCTGTAATCCATAATTGAATTTAAATTTTTAGTTGGTTAAAATAATTATAAGGTACCTATATAAAATATAAGTGATTTTTAATTTTTAATTCAGATAAACAATTAATTAATCGATTACAACATACAASATAAATATATTATGTATAAGCTCTAAAAAGTAATAAATGTTTTGAAAACATTTTTTTAAATGTCAAACAATGTTTTTTATCAAYGCTTGTTGAGGTTTTGCGTGATTTGTGTAGGTAATATATAGTATAATATGGTCATTGTTCAATATAGTTTTTGAATATTATTCAAATTTGCAAATGTAAATTATATTATAAATGTTTTTTTGATAGGTTTACAAAATATTTTGCGTAATTTTATCCACGCATAT